ATATCTTTTCAGTGGTACATATACGATACATTTAAATTTTGTTACAAATAAAAAAGGATAAAAAAATAGATTTTTGCTGTTTTGAAGACGTGTCAAGAAAGAACATTTTTAACTCTAAAATCCCTTTTAAAGAAAATATCATACTAGGGAGCATTATATAAACTTTTTTTCGCTTCCCAGTCTATGTACATTTCGCTTATTTACTTCAATACCGTTGTAAGTGGGAACCCACTACGAAACGTTTGTTCGTGTCGTATAGAGTAGGGATGTTGTGAATGTGGAATTTTAGACATCTATGGATGCGAATGCGGACTTTCAACTGTATATATTTTTGTTTTATTGCGGTGCAATAATTCCTCCTTGAGAATTGCATCGGGGCTCAAATGTCGGATGTCCCCTCCTGACTTTCATATCTTCACAATCTAGCATCATGGCAAGATCGTTGTTTAAAGAATTCTTCATTCTCATTATTTGAGTTGTTTAGGAATTCGGAAAACCTGTAACGTCGTCAGCGTTTTTCGATTTTAGTATTTGTAATGCATTTTTAATCCTCTATTCTGTGACTGGCCAGTTATACGTTTTATGAGTGCACTTGCACAATATTCCAGGGACCGAAAATAACAGTTATTTTTTTACGAGTTAAACTTGGCCTAATATTTTTTAATCCGAAATAAAAGTCCTTTCCGGATAATAAACAAACCGCTTAGACTCATTAAACGAATTTGGTATCATATGAAAGAGGACTGAAATAGCTAAGAAACAGAAATAACGAACGAAGGTTACCACCTCTATTTATATTTTTTTTTTTATAATTTAATACTAAAGAAATTCATATACCTGACCCAAGGTTTTGTTCTATGGGAATTAATTAACATAAAATATCTTTCAGTAAGTGGCTTTCCTCGTTTAGACATTTCAGTTCTAAAGCTATTTAAATCCATTTCATTTGATACCAAACTTGTTTAATTTGGATAAGCGGTTTGTTTATTATCCGGAAAGGGCTTTTATTTCGGAATAAAAAATATTTTATATTTTAACTCGTAAAAAAATAACTGTTATTTTCGGTCCTTTGAAAAATTCGCATTCGCAAAAGATCCGCATTGATTATTGCGAATGCGAACGCAAATGTTAAAATTAATGCGAGCAAGAGTACATTAATAACAACAATAACCGGCCGTCTTCACGTACTGCAAAATCCCACTCGCGTTTTGATTAAAATGATGATGAAAACAATGTTTACTTAAGGGAATCAAAGACTATAGTAAACAAGTAAAAAGTACTAAGGTCGGGCGAAGCCGAACATTAGATATCCGGCGCACGTATTAATTATGGTTTTTTTTTTACCTTTCTGAAAACTACCGTTACATGGTAAGCAAGGTGGTTTTACACCTACATATTTCAAACATTTTCTATAATATGTTCAGTTAGACCTAATAAGATAAACTTATATGTATAGTCATATAGTCACGGTACCACGACCATTTTCCAAAAATTTGTTATATACATACGTATTTCTTGCTAAAGAATTATTTGCAAACATCAATTTTGAATAAATTCGCTTAAATATTTAGTTAAATAGAGATCTCGTATTTCTCTAAATTACCGTCATGTGGGATGTGGGCGTGGCTATTGTCCGATTTAAAAATATTCAGCCGTTTGATATGTTTTACCAGGACCAATAATTGTGCCAAATTGAGTAGAAATTGGCGAATCGGTTACCGAGATATACACATCGAATCATAAGTGGGCGTGGCTACGCCATTTCCATGTATTTTTCAATCAATATTTTTCGATCACAAAACTCTGTTTCTCTTCAGGAGACTTCTAATAATAATACCCAGTTGTTTATTTCAGAATTTTTTTAATACTAACGATTTTTTATGGGTCCCCCATTGCAATTTTTGGGGAACCTATAACAGAAAATGTTTTTTTTTCATATAAAATAATTATATGGAAAATTTCTAGCACTCTAAATATTTTTTGATTTCAAAAAAAAAAATCATCTAGCTTTGGGCAATTAACTATTTCAGCATTTAATACTAAGTAATTTTAAATTGGTTGAAAAGACATCTACAAAAGAAACATAGTGACTTTGAAGTGCTTTAAGCCAAATGCATTTTAAAATAGTTGAAATCAAATGCAGAGTCGGATAATTGACTGCTTCCTAGGACATCGCCATGTTAAAGTCAACAGTTCGTTCCAAGGAAGAAAATCAAATCATCAATTAGTTGTGGTGGGTAAAAAACTGGTTGATAACCAATATTTTAACTAGTTTCATTCCGTACTGGGTACATATAACCAGCATTTATTTTTTTTCACGTAAAAACTGTGTTTCCCTGTTTTACTGGTTTTTTGTTGTTTTGGAGGGTGGGGCATTTGTTTAAAATTTAAAATTTCATTGGTCTGACTTTTTAGCATCTCAGACTAGCATTTAAATAAAGAAAATCGGCGGTATCCCACAATCAAAAAAAAAAAAACAGCGTTCGGGCGAACTGTGTATGTATGTCGTCTTCGGTGCGGTTTCACACTATGTATAACAAACAAATCAAAAGCTCGAGAAAAACGTCTTTAATAAAGGTTTGAATTTAATCCCATATTAAAATTTAATACACATTAGGGCAATTCATCTAAACGCGTAAATGCCTTATAACCATGTAAATCTCGGAAACTTACTTAATTTTGTATGGAAAATCGGTTTTCCATTAATACCCATATTTTGCTCTAGTGAGCTACTGGTAAACGGTACAACAAAGAAGAGGTAACTTTAATTTCTGCATACTTAACTCGATTTTTATTTTTATTTATTTTTTGTTAATGATACTTTTCTAATAAATGAGAGATATGTACATTATTATTATGGGTATTCATGGAATCGCGTAAATGCCTCGTAATAACCGATTTTCCATAAAAAATTAAGTAAGTTTACGAGGTTTACATGGTTACTAGGCATTTGTGCGTTTCCATGAATTGCCCTACTGTTTCTTTTTTGTACGTGAAAAACATGTGTAATTGAATTATCGATTGGTTGGACTATGTACTTTTTTATCTAAGTGTATATTCAGAATTGTTACCGGGTTAAAAGTGTAGTTATGTACATAGAACATAGATATTAAACACTAACTACAGATGTTCACTAGAAGTTCATAACTAAAAAAATAAAATAAATAATAAAGTACACATTAAGGAAACTCTATACAGCATGGAAGTGCTTAAGGATGGCGAGATAGATATAGAGAGAGAGATGTTCTAAGCGGGTAGCCAATTAGTTTCTGATGGTGCGATTTCTACAAGGCGACAGTGTGGCGATATTAGTTGTGTGTTTGCATTGTATTTGTATGTGGACTTTAAGTCATACGAATAAACATACAAAACAATTTTAGCTGTGGGTGTATTGTTTTATTGAGCTTTTGAGTTATGGTAATTACCTTGCATCAAGTTTCCTATAGATTTTTAAACAAAGGTTACAACGTGATAACGGGATTTTTTTTTATTTGTTTTTTTTTTTCAGTTTCAATGGGATATGGTTGTGTAATTTTGGAACGCGTTTAAAGAGAGAAAAACAAAGAGATAAATAGAAAATAAGAACTTTTTAATATAAAGCAAACGCATTAATTATGTAGACACTATATCGCTAGGGTGGGGTTGTTGTGGTTAATGACGGACGTTTCGGGATAAGGATTCAACATGAAAATTGTAAAAAGTGGATGGGTTAAAGTTAACAGAAAAACTTGGTATAGTTAAAAGACAAAAATGAAATTACAAAAAAAAGAACAAAACTATTCCGTTTAGTCATGGCTCGGAATAAATACACAAACATCTTAAGAATGTTCGCTAAAGGACGCAAACTAAACACAGTAATCAATCAAATCCAATTTTCCAAATTTATAAAATGCATGCCAATTCACTTACGATTCTGTGGCTCCGCCAATTCGATCAACGTTTCTACGGTCAATATACTCTCCAGTGTTATCTGCAGCTCCATATCGGTGCGTGGAGTCTTCGCCGTTTCTGCATATAAGCCCTCGATGATGCGTGGCGCCAGTGCATGGATGTACGGCGTGGATATCTTAAGATCAGCTTTGGCGAAAATCGAACGCGTAGATTGTATGCATTTCAACTTCACTGACAAATGCTCCGACTGCATACACTGTCGGAAGTGATTTATACATGGATATTGCAGCGACGGTGTGGACACCACCGAGCGGGTGTGTGTAGTATAAAACGGCTATGGCCAATAACATGCGTTACTTCATCCACCTTTCGCTCTTCTTCGTCGCCCGCAGTTTTTGTCATGTCAATAATGGTGGCCAGTGCGCTTTGCAATATTGCCATCCATTCGGCGGAGACTAATTCGTGCTTTGCCCAACGGTTAGTGCATACGGATTTGAGCGTATGGAGCGACGCCTGAACTGCGCCCGTGTTTGCGAGTATTGTAGTGTCAATGGACGATTTGTTGGCAATTTCGCGCATTATCGATGTGGTCATGAAGGCGATGGTAGGCAAAATTGTTAGCGCCCTTTCGGTGAGCACAGCGTCTGTGAGATCCTCAACACATTGTAAGCCGCTGGCAACAAGCATGCCGTTATCTTCAGCTAACACCGAGAAGAAAGATTGGATGTGCTGCTTTTGGCGGCTAATTCCTGCTTAAATTGAATTGTGCTCAGCTTGCTGGCGACGCTCGGATTCATTGAGGGTATTTGTCGAACGAATACACAAAGACACACCTCCAGCACGGCATAGACGTGCGAATTGCCGGGAACAATTTCGCCACCTTCACCGCCTTCACCTAAATTCTCGATTTCTGTCTGTAGGTGCGCGTTATCGGTGTTGTCATTATTTTTATTGTTTTGAGCAAGATGCTGGTCACGTTTCAATTGTAGATCCTCCTTGGCCGCGTGTATCGACTGTTTTAGTATCTCCATGCAGAGCAATTGCACCAGCAGCTCATCTCGAGTCAAAATCTGTCGATGCAAAACGTTGCACAGTTCAATGGTCAATGTTTTGTTCTTAATCAATTGTTTACGCGCCCAATCAGAATCGAAAATCGTGAAAAGTGATTGCAAACAACTGATGACATTTTTCGGCTTCTCAGATGTACGCGTGCTGCACAAAGCCTCCATGCAAATACCGAAAATCATATGGAAGCGATCGGCTGAGAGTGAGCCATGAGAAATATTGTTGTTGGATTCGTATGCGGCGCCATCGGCACCTGTTGCGCTTGTATTTGCATATTCGGCAAAACCTTCGTCCTTCAGCCACAACGAAGCTGCATACAGGATGGGCGGCCACGAGGACAAATAGTGCGGCTTCGACGAGTTAATCGTATCTGTAGTGTAGAAAGCGCCACCATCGTGCGGCAATTGACTTTGGAACTCTACGGGAAGCAGCAAAAGCGCGTGATCTTTCATTGCAGCAGCCAGTGTGTGGACAGATTTCTTAGCTCTGGTTTAACCAGACTGAGCAAACTTTCGCCGCGGCTTTCGAAATCACCAAAATCTCCGCCAGCCGCCTCTGATCCTTCCAAATCTAGACCATCTTGTAAGGGGTGTTATTATGTTCGAAGAAGTGAGTTTCTTTTGCAGCAAGGAGGCCGGGGCCGAACCATTGCCGATCATAGCGACAATGTACACCTCCGCCCAGGCTTTTAAAATGCTCAACTTTTCAATGTTGCCATAGATTCATTGTATAGTGGGTACTGTTGGTTTTGGTATGCAATTTGTCGAGGGAAGATACCAGTAAATGGTGTACGCGACGCAGATCGTTCAGGTCTCGGGCGACACCTGAGCCAATCCAAGCAGAACAAACTTCACACGCGGCCGCTGTGACATGCGATGGAGTGTCTGGTGAGAAAGCTGGACGTAGAGCTGCACCAACCTGGGGAAAAACGAAAATACCCGTTAAAATGAAAAAAAAAATAGTGCGTCTGGGTCACACTGCGGAATTGAAACATCTCGGTAAGTTTCAATCTCAATTTTAGCCTTAAACCACATCATGCATGATAATTCGATTATACACTCTCAATATTGGTTAAAATTTTTTCGAAACAATTTTTTAATTCACTATCGTTACTAAAGAATTTGCGTTTGAAAACTGAAATAGATTGAGCATTGAAGGTGGGCTTACCTGCGCTTGAAATTGTTCCAGCAACAAATGGCCTGGAAACTCTGGCTCTGGTACATTTGCAAATCGATCGATTATTTCCTGTAACGTGCGTAGACCCTCTAATCGTAGTTGATCAGAGTCCGAAGTGGCTGCCATGAATGACATACGTATTAACTCGGATAGATGTAGAATCAGATAGTCGCCACGTGATTTTATCATTTGCATTTCTTTAGCCTGTATCAGGTCCAGATGTATAGGATTGGCTGCCTCACAAGTGGCTATGATTTTACGTACACACTGCGCTGCAAAAACGCGTGTCGGCCAACGCGGCTGTACGGCCGGATGCGTGGAGGTATTCTCCTCAGCGTGATACTCAGTTACATCATCATAATCTTCTTCTTCGTCATCATCATCGCCCTCACCTTTGTTTGCACTATCATTACTGCCGCTGTTAGACTTGCTATTTATGGCATCATTCTTCAAACCGCCCGCTTCGTCTTGAAGCGAGATTCCCTCGACAGCAACGGTTAGTACATTTTTACACAAACTCAGCCAGAGCTTAGATTATCGGAAGCTAACATTTGTAGCATGGACGTTAGTGTATCGTGGATATTTTTCAACATTTCTGCATCGGTTTCGGTGTCCAGCATGGCAAAAAGTACACCCGGAAGCCCATATTCGGTTATCGTGATATCCGGACATTGCTCAGGCGTCATGGTAAGCGCTAGTTCGCACACTTCCTTGGCCTCACGCTGGGAGAGCTGACGCAAACAAGAAACAGCAGCTTTACGCAGCATTAAATAGTTGCTTGAGAGCGTCTTCACCAATGTGGGCACCAACGAACTCAAATTAACATATTTAGGTCCGAAGAGATGCAACTGTTGCAGGCAGCCGGTAGCCTCGGCCTGCACCAGCGGATCGGTGTGCGCTTGCATTATGGCCGACGCGCAAAGGAAAGATGAACGCATCGCGCCCACAGCGCCGCTGTTGCTCTGTCAAAGACGATTTGAACAGACAAAATTAATAGCTACATACCATGAAAATATTTATTACACGCAAGTACCTGCAGCTCCGGTCCAACTGTTGTTATGAGTGCATTCAAAACACGCCCAACGCACTGGTGAACGTCCACATTGGTCTGTGGCACAGAAAGCAATAACTTCAAGCACAAGGATAAAGTTGCCTCAACATAGCCACGGAACATTGGTCCGCCAGAGTCGGCAATGAGCGCCAACGCATACAGCGACCAAACTTGCACCACCGGCGACGAGGTGTCCTGTGCTAATGCCAGCAGAATTGAAACGCTTGTGTTCAAATGATGTGATGACCCCATGCCACCGACGTAACGATGCAAGCAACCCAATGCTAGCGAATGGCCAGTGCGTGTGACTACATCACGTGCGGACTTCAATTTGTCAAATGAATTCTGCGCCAATTCAGCGGTAAATCGTGAATCGCCGACCACTTGCGCCATACGACCGATAGCTTCACCGGCAGCGCAACGCAGCGTCGAATTGGTGCTCACCAAAGCTGCCACGACCAAATTGGTAGCGCTCTTCTTTACATCCTCCTGACCAATGCCGCACTTGCTGTCGGTGAGTCCTTTCAAACCGCTCAGCAACGCAGTGAAAATATTCATCTGTACGGCTTCTTGACGGCTACTCTTCGCTTGCCGTATACATTCGGCGAAATGTTCCAACATTTGCAAGCGATGCTTATTGGCCACTTTCGGAAAGATTAGACCAAACAGCGTGACGGACATGTCGATGACAGCAACGCCCAAGGGCAGTGGACCCGGACATTGATCGACCTTGTTGACTGGTGTATTGGAGACGGCGGCGATAGCGGCTGGGCCTACCAAACCACTAATTGGTGGACGGTACAAGCAGCAGGCATCATGCTCGAGCGCACCCGACCCAGCAGCACTGTTGGGTTGTAGCTGAGGAGATGAAATGAAATAATTTAAATACGGGACTTATTTAATGCATTGCATGGGAAGCGGCTAGAAAATATGATATTTCCATCACTTATTTTACAAATCATTTTTCTGGAAGAGTTAAAAATTAAAATCTTCAAACCAAAAATATTTATTATTCAAGGATAATCGTAGTTTGGCGCAGTAAAAAATTTTGAGGATTAAAAATAAAATTAAGTAAAAAATTTTGAGGATTAAAAATAAAATTAAGTAAAAAATTTTGCAATGACTTCTTAACTCCCAACAGGTAACCTTAAGAAAAAAGTCCTATTCGTTTTTTTATGAATAAGTTGAGAAATTCAGGGTATTCGAGAATTTTTTAATACTGTTTTGTTTTATGTCCGTTAAAAACTTTTTGAAATTGGCTTGATTTTGTTAATAATAATAATATTTAGTAGGACATCCGACAAGGGCACCCATCTGTTTAATGAATGAAATCTACTTCGCATGAAATTTAACGTATTAGGAAATAATCCGCGAGTGGGTTGGCTGAAAAAAATTCGGGCCAGGATATTTCTGTCTTAACTAGCTTCTCCTTCAATTTGTGGTGTACGTCTTCAAGTTGCTACACAAATGAAGGGACCTACAGTTTTACAGCGCCTCCAAACGGCAAATGCATTTTACGAGAAGTTTTTCACGGCAGAAATACACTCGGAGGATTGCCATTGTTTGCGGAGGGGCGGCCGCTGTTAGAAAAAAGCTTCTTCCAATTTAGATGTTGCTTGGCCGAAGAATCGAACCCAGGTCCTGCGGAGTTGTTGTGCGCACCTTGGGCCACTTAGCCGCATCGTGTTATTTTGGGTCATCGGTTGGTTTCAACTTTTACTAATTTCGACTCAGAAATTCCTTTACAAAGTTAGTTGAGACCAAAGGAAAAGGTCACGAAAATCGCATTCTTTTATGGCTTTAAACAGTAAGGCAACAACAAAAGCAAAACAAAAAAAAAATTAAAGAAACTGTTAACCCAAATGAAGTGACTAGTTTCAAAGGAAGCGGAAATGACTTGGCGAAAAGAAAAAAAAAACATGGCAAAGGAAGAAAAGAAAAAGCAAAAAAAGGAAAACAAAGAATAAACATTGCAGAGCAAAGGCGTAACAAGGATTCAAATTGATTTTTTTAAACAAAAGAAAAAGAAACAAACAACAAATTTGTATAGCACAGACACTTTTCGTATTGAGGTCGGGACAAAAATAGAAAATAAATTTGTATGTTTGTTTGTGCACTACAAAATGCATATTGAAAACGTGGAAAATCAGGAAGTGCCACCCAAAAAAAAAAAAACATACAAAATCCAACAATGCATTTTACGAAAAAACTCTAAAGAAAATTGTACAACAGCAAAAGCAACAATATGAACGTTTAACAACAATAACAACACTTACATGCTCGCCATCGGATCTACGATTAGGTTCCATCTATTTTTTTTTTTTGTTCGAGATTAGCAGAGAAATGATGGCGCACACAGGGGCAGTTGTTGTTGTGGTAGCAGTTGCATTGATATTTTGACATTGGTGGTGGCGACGGGATTGTCAAGTTGTTGTTGTCGTATTCAATTGTTTATTCGGTGGTGGTGGTAGCAGTGCAGTGGGGGGAAGTAGGTATTTGCAGTTAGAAACATACATATTTGAGATAATTTCACTCGTTATTTGGAGATGTATAAGGATAGAAGTTGCTGTTGGTTTCTATTTAGTTACTTTACTTAGATAGATATGTAAACGACCATATTTACAAGTATATTTACAGCATCACGAGTTTCCAATCAAAGCAGCTTCATAATTCTAACACTATGTTCCTATATGTACACAAATATGGTCAAAATTTTTCTCTTTAACGTTACAGTCGCACCTATATTTTAGTGTATATATATCTGAAACGTTGTGTAAAAACCGAAAGTTTTTCATTTATCATGATAATAAACTCCAAAAGCTACATTTTATATACAGACACTTGTTTCTTATCTTTTGTTGTTTTAAAGATAAATGTTTTAGGTGGTCTTTAACGTTAAATTTTTGGAAGTCAGTTAGATATAACGTCCCACTTACGGAAAACTTGGCGAATCCTGCAAACTTAGAAATTAAACTAAAGCATTTTAATAAAGATCAAGCTTCAAAGAAACTAACAAAAATATTAGCTTTTGGATAATACTGTTTATAACAAATGTATGTATAAACCGAAATATGCAGTCTTTAACGTTATTTCTCATACTTGACTATATTTTCCATTTTGATCGCATGCGAGGGACAAGAGAAACGAACGCGGACCGCATACATTGGATGTCAATCGACACTTTTTTCTAGATGCCAAGGCGAATTTATATAAGGTAGTTTACTAGCTCAGCTGATTCTGCTTCTGATATCAGGTGCGTTCGACAAGTAAAAAATTTGTAATAGTTTTTTCAAATTTTTACTGGATGGCGTTCGATAACGACAAAAAATTATCCAGCACACAAAAATTGAGAGAGCAAGCGTTCATTTTGATGCAAGAGAAGCGTTCATTTTGTACTCACAAAACATATGGTTGCAATTTTTGTAAACAAACAAAATTGCATTTTCCGAGTTTTGGTATTTATATGCTTTTTGGCTGCCTGCAATGTGACTTTATGATAGTGCCAACTAGTTTTTGCTTCTAGAAATGTCCCTGGTGAACATTGAACGTTCACTTTCCTTTTTTCTTCTATGGAGGCAACATGAATTTCAGTTTTTTTTACAAATAAAACATAAACAAAGTCAGCTGGTGTGTCTTCTTCTTCCGGTTTTTGCAAGTAATGGCTAATTTCCTGTTCGTTTACTTTTTTGCTTTTTCATCTCTTTGGGAGAGAATTTTGGCTTACTCTCTTGATTTTGATTGATGGCTGGTGTTGGCTAATTTTGTTATCGAACGCAACTACTCTTACCGATTTTGACAGTTTATGCCGCCAAAGCAAAATACATGTAAATTTTTGTTTTTGTACTCCTGCTATCACCTTATATTAATTCGCCTTGCTAGATGCCTTAAAATGTATATCAAAAAAATATATCAAGAGTTGACGGGTGAGTCAAAGAAATATTTTTTTTTCACCCGTTCCTCGTTCCCGAAATTTGGACCATATGTACATACCTATGGCTCGATTACTGATGACAACCGAACTTCAGTTGGGTTACCAGTGGCTGAAATGGTATTACAGCTTATTTACACTCAAGCCTTGGTTCAAAATTCTAATAGTCGCGATTCATAATATATATACATTTTCATTTCAGGGCCGTTGCATATCGGTAACACAACTCAGGTTACGTTGCAACCCATAATCGGTATAAATAACGCTATTTTACGAAATGAAAACTACATTTTTATAACAGTTTTTTACCTAATTTGGGCCATTGAATAACAATATGATCTCCTTTATTTTTCCAAAAAAAGCGTAACTCAGAAAAAACATAGTAAACACGTTTTTCGATCGAAAGCGTTTATTATATGTTAAATTAGGGTCACACTGGTAATCTGACGATTTTTTTTCCGCAGTTGTAAATTTGTTTCAATAGACTTTTTTTGCTAGTGTTTACATTCGTAAATTATTTTATACTGGGGTCCCACAGACGTATGCAAATACTAGGTGGCTGTGTGAAAATTACGTTAGCATTTTTAAGTGGTGGTCAAACCCCAGGAAGGTTTTGCTCCATCGCATCGCAATGTTTTCTACACAGGGTTAAAGTTCCCCCCCTTTTTGATAAATATTAGTATTATTCTTCATTACATTTGGCTATCCTTAGAAAAATTTGGCGCTTAATATTTTAGTGGAAATTCTCACCATCTATAAGCCAGTTTTCAAACAGTGGGTCAAAAAGGCCCGTTCTGGTGGGAGTTGATGGGATAAACTGTTCGAAAATAGGAGGCCACCCTTGTTTTCAATCTATAACCCGCAAAAAGTCGTCATTTAACTCAACGGTCTCTCTGAATCTTTAGAAAATTTTTGGGTATGCAGTTTTGTAGGCCATAGAATTTTAGTATGATAAAGTGCATGGTTCCAGTCGCAAAACTCGCGTTGATTTTAGATATATTTTTTTTTGTTAGTACTTTTGCGATTTTTATTAATAACAAGTGCAATTTATAAAAACTGGCGTTGATTTGGACTTTTTTTAGAACGGTCTTGCGCATTTTATTCCTTAAGAAATTCATTGTTATAAAGAAACAAATAAAGAAGTAACTTGTTTCTTGTTAAGAGATTGTTGTAATTTGGTGTAAATAGTCACGCCCATTTTCCCAAAAATTTCTCCTAATATTACTTTCTGCTAAGAGGTCATTGCATTTATCGATTTTGAGCTGAGATTAGCCTAAGTAGTTACTAGTTAATCGCAGTTATCATATTTCATTGTGTTTCTTAGTGGAACTTTAAGCAATGTTCGCACC